TTTGCAAGCTCCTTTGACTACGATGACCTGGATGACTGAGAACCTTCACAGACAAGTCTAGATACTGTGTACAGTGGGGCAAAAAAGTATTTAGTCAGCCACCGATTGTGCAAGTTCCCCCACTTAAAATGATGACAGAGGTCAGTAATTTGCACCAGAGGTACACTTCAACTGTGAGAGACAGAATGTGAAAAAAAAAATCCATGAATTCACATGGTAGGATTTGTAAAGAATTAATACTTATTTTCCACCCTGATTTACGAATAAATTCTTTACAAATCCTACCATGTGAATTCATGGATTTTTTTTTTCACATTCTGTCTCTCACAGTTGAAGTGTACCTCTGGTGCAAATTACTGACCTCTGTCATCATTTTAAGTGGGGGAACTTGTACAATCGGTGGCTGACTAAATACTTTTTTGCCCCACTGTAGATTCAGACATCTCTGGGATGTTTAGGAGTTTAGAATTTCTCTGGTTCATTGGCTTTATTCAGATAATTCAGTAATCACTCAAGATTAGTTCCCAAGTCCTCCTGAATTCAAAGAAATATTCAGGGTATCCGGCGCTGTGCTTTCCCACAGGTGAACTCAGGTGAAATGAAAGAAGTAGTGGATGTCCTCCTCCTCTGGCACAATGGTAACTCAGAAAAGCTCCTTGGAGTAAGGAGATCAGGCTCAGAAGTGGTTCTTTCTAAGAACGTATATCTGTATTTATAAATGACATACTAAGGATGAGTAATGCTTAAATAATGAGGAAAGTAAGCAGTGACCAATGACACGTTTAACAATGTGTCATTGTTATCCACTATTCTGTTTGTTTATGAGTACAAGATGCTTTTTTCTATCAAATAACCTAAAAAATGACTCACTGCACCTTTAAAAATACTAACTTAAATAAACCAAGATAACCCAGCAGTCCATAGGAAATAATGTGTGCACTATGTCACTAAAGTTATTTTAACTGCAAATGTAAAAGTAAACATAAATGAACCAAAGAGGAAGTGACATGACTTTGAGGACAGATGTGATCAGGTGGAAAGTGCAGAAAGCTGACTGATGTCCACCCGTGGCTGCATTCAATGTTGGCCTGTCAGGATTTTCTTTGATGGCCATTTAGCTCTTATGGCATGAACTTGCTCAGTGCATTATTATTGGCTTTTCTACAGTCTGATATTTGTTTACTAATTGATTGATACAGTGCATTAAATAAGTTGATAAATAAGATGTTAAAAACGTCATCATCATATCAAGCATGATCGATTTGGGGGAGTTTGTTTGGCACATGCTGATTGCATTCTAATTATAACCAGAACAGGAGGCGAGAGCAGAGAACAAGAGTGCAGCAGTCTGGTGAAAGGAACAGGAAAGGTGAAGAAGAGATGAGCATCCAAAAGACGAGCAAGAGGACAGTTTCAAAGGAGACATCACGGCACAATAAAAGCTGTAAGAGCAGAGATTCATTCATGTTTTTATTATTTTTTACAGTAAATCAAATATATAGTACAAACAAGAAGAACTCAAATTGCATTGTTGTTCAGTATAGTTCTGTGACTTCAACCTTTAGCTAACGTATAATGTTTGACATTTTATATAAATGTGACTATAACATATAGTCGATAATATTAAAAAGGTGCTGTTACTGAGTGAAACAAAGATTTCAGGTCTGGATTTAGCCCCAGTGTTTTAAGATCCCAGCAGCGCTCGTATTTATGGCCACATTTTTAAAAGAGACGAGCTTTCTGGGTGCTGACTCACATGGGACCCCTTTAGTTCATTGAAACTTTAATGCCAGTTTAGTTTAAGACATTAAACTGGACACGTTTTGAATCAAATTGATAATAACAGAGCGATGCTGGACATAAGCAACTGCGTTAGTGTGACGCCCTGCATATTTGAAGGATTGCGATAAACTTCTGTTCTTACTGAATCTGTAACATTGCCTTGATCTGCCTACATCATTTTTTAAATAGTTTGCGTTGCTGAATGAGTTTTGTGTCACTGTGCACCAGAGATGGGCAGTAACGCGTTACTTGTTTCTATACAAGATTTTTCAGTGCATTTATTTCGGTTTCAATATTTTTTTTTCGAAGCAGGAGGTGTGTGCTCAACAGAAAGTCCATGCAGTGTTGTGTGAATCAGACCACATTTCCCATAATGCTTAGAGTTCCCAGCTAAAATAACCAATAACAAAGAGTCTCATGCTTAGGGTCAAAGGTCCTTATAAAACACCGTTCTGATTGGTCGCACACAGGCATGTTGCTTTCAGGAACCGTTGGAAAACAAATTATCAATCTCCACATTATAAGACCGTACCAATGAACAGTAGTAAGGCAAAATGGCCGTTCAAAGTCTGTAAAACAGGGGTTAGGGTTAGGGTCCATAAAAAGTCCTCATAATAACATAAATTGTCCCAATAAGTGGGTTAGAGCTTTCAGCTGCTCTGCTCCCAGAAATAAGAAACATTGGTTCTCCCCCAGTTTAAATCCCAACTCAAAACTCATCTGTTCAAATCTGCATGTTCACTGTGAATCCACTGCTAATTTTACCTTGTGCTTTTGTTTTATTGTTCTTATTCTGCCATTGTTTTACTAAGTGTTTTATCCTATTGTAAAGTGTCCTTGGGTGACTTGAAAGGCGCTCATAAATAAAATTTATTATTATTATTATTAAAAAACATCAAATCAGAATTGGGCTTCAGATTGTAAACAATAATGGATGTACAGAGCTTATAATGATCCTCTGAGCTATGTACACAATCAAAATACACAAAAGGCACATCTTTTTATTGTCCAGTTCAGCTGATGCCCCTAGTTGGGGACCCCTTTTCCTCTCAGTTGTTGGAATGTGAGGACATAGGGTGACCCGAGTGGGGGGCCAGGCGGCACGGGCGGGTTAGGGGGAGCTCAAGTTGGGAGGTTGGCCACCAAAGGTGGCCAAACTCCATGCACAGTCCATACCTGTTCCCATCCCGGGCCCCCACGTCACTCACGGATTGCTCTCCAGGAGGGAAGTGTCCTCTCTTGTCCCGAATAAGGGGGTTGAAGCTGGGCTTAGGGAACCCAGAGGTTAGGTTTAGGACTGGAAGAAGATGGGGATTGAAATTAGGGCCCAATGTCCGGTTGGGGCTCCAGGCGGTTAGGTTTAGGGCCGGAATGAAGTCCCTGCATGGGGTTAAAGGGGGTTAAGGTTAGGGAAGGCCTCAGGGCCAGGAGTTTATAATGGGATGGCCATAAAAGGGCCTATACAAGTAAAAAGTGAAGGAAAAAAGAAAAAAGTAAAGAGAAGGGGAAAATTCACTTAATTGGAGTTACAGCACCCTCTAGTGGGTTGTATTGGGGTTAAACTCTCACATAATGGCATCTGAAGCCTCCCTCAAGCACAGAAATACATAAAATCAGTCACTCAAATTGGTTTCATGGAGATGCCCCATTAACATGATCATTCCAATGATCCAACATGTGCTCTGCAGTCTTGTCAGTCCAGCGGAGATTGTCTGATTCCATGCTGAATTTATCCGCAGGTAGTGCAGGTATGTGCTCCTTTAGACCTGTAATGAAATTGTTTATGTGCAATAATGTGTCTTGTTCTGTTTTGGGAAGAGCAGAAGAGAAGTTAATCACTGGGATATAAATGTCAGCTTGGGGGAACTTTTCTTGTGCCGACCTCAGCGTTCTTCTCAGCTCCGTTATTGGTGCATTTTTATCCCTCTGACGCCTGTTATTCAGGCCGAAGGAGAGAACCAGCTTCTCCACCGATGTGTCATAGTCTGCTTCATCTAGATGGATCTCTGCATGGCCCCATCTGGCTCCTGGGAAGCTGTCAATTTGTACTCCCTCCGCTACATATGGAGGGATCATGCCCACATTGGAGTCTCCGATGATCACCGATGCTTCCTTTGTGTGCAGTCTCCACTCTCTGAGCTTTTTCTTTGTGCTTGGGTGTCTCTTCCGGTGTTTGAAGACTTTAAGAGGTAACCCTAGGTAATGAATGATTGTGTTAGTGTACATATATTCAGGGGTGCACAAGTGGTCCGCAGGTGCGCATGCGCTGTTAAAATAAAGGATGCGCGCCAGATAAGAAGTTGCAACGCACGTTTGCTTACATAAGATTTTATCTTATGTACGCAAGATAAGGTGAGCTGGCTTCAAATGATTTTCACAGCATATTCTGCACCACATCTCTGTGCGTTCTTCATTGCTTTGAACCCAGCTCACCTCCTGCAACCACTTTTCTGAGAATACGCACTTCTTTTGCTGTTCGTACTCCTGCTGACATTTCTTTGGAAGTGGAGGAACACCAAAGTAATTTCTTCGGTGGCTGTAGCTCAGCAGATAGAGCAGGTCACCTACTGATCGGAAGGTTGGAGGTTCGATCCCAGGCTCCCCCAGTCTGGATGTCAAGTATCCTCGGGCAAGATACTAACCCCAAGTTGCTCTCCGATGCGTCCGTCGAAGTGTGAATGTAGTTAGATAGCACTCAGTATAGATGAAGTGCTTGTGAGAATGGGTGTGATTGGGTGAATGTGGCATGTTGTATAGAGCGCTTTAAGTACTCCGAGAGAGTAGAAAAGCGCTCTATAAGAATCAGTCCATTTAAAGGAGCTTGCTTCTTCGACATTTTTAAGAGTTCTAAACAAATGTCTGTCCTCCTCCAGAAAATCTTATGTACGCAAACGCGCGTTGCAACTTCTTATCTGGTGCGCGTCTTTTAGTTTGACAGCACATGTGCACCTGTAGGACCACTTATGTGCTCTCCTGCATGTATTTAAGGAAAGAACTGTGTTTAATGGAGACTGTCAGTGACAGTCAATGCCCAAAAGGTTTTTGTTCAAGCAGTCCTGGCAGACGGCCTCGCTCTTACTTTCCTCATGTTCTCCTTTTATTTAACTGGAGTTGATAAATGACTTCATCCACCCATCTAATATGTTGAAAACATCAAAGCAAGAAACTTGCTCACCATGTTTTCTTGATACTGCAGTTAATAAATCTTTCGAGCTCAGTAACTTTAACAATTTATTTCATCAGCATTCCAGTACCTGAAAACATTCCAGCATTTATCGTTGATAAATCTTGTATGAGAAGAAAGATTAAAAGTAATTGAGCAATATAGAGTTTAATAAATAATCACATCCGGTGCAGTGCAATAAAGTTTGCTTAAAAGAAACCTCAACATAAACAGACACTTAAGCTGTGTACATGCCGGAAGTGATTCGCTCATCACACATTGCTTTGAAGCTGGTGGTTGGTCGCTTGCTGACGCTCCAGGCCCCAGTTGCCCAGATACCACTACCCTGTAAATCAACAATATTCTTCATTCCCACAGGTAGCACTTCAGGCTTTCACCTGACGCCTGAAAATGAATAAACTTTTATTCTGAATCCCGTCTACTTCACATCACCAGTGGTTATTTTGCCCGCTGTAGTCATGGAACACCCTTCACTTTCTGGTCAGCGTGTAGCTGTGAATCTCTTCCAGTATGCACACAGCGTCACAGTGGAATCTGAGTTTCAGGATTGCAGCTGTTAACTCAAATTAATGCAAACTTCTTTGTGTTGTGTAAACTCTCAGCACGTTCTTAGTTCTTCCATGTGTAGCTGTAGTTGTTCATGGTGATGTGTGTCAGGGCTGTCTTTCCCAGGGTGGAAGGCTGCTGCAGCTGCTGGATGGAAGCAGGATGGAGACCACAAGAGGACAGTTCTACCGAGGCCTCGCCAACCTGCAAAGTGTTCACAGAATAAATACCCCTACACTAATTCACACTTTCTCTCCAACTCCTATTTTAGAATAAATCTGAGGTTGCTAGCTGGCACTAAGTGCTGTGGACAGCACGTTGACACAGGTTAACAGACAAACAGCAAAACCAGCCATGCAAACTAGCTCGTTCAACATCTGCATTATTTAAATTACCAATGCACGTGCCAGAAACCTGAGCGCCTCAGTGGGTACATTTAGTAAATTATCGTGAATTAAGTGGCTGGCCCGACTGTGTGAAGAAGACAGAGGCTTCACACGTTACATGCAGATAACCCTGGTTATGGTTTAGGCATCATCTGCAGGTTGCTTGCTAAGAAGTAAAGTTGACATTAAAGTTGATTTGATCACATTCAGGCTACAGCTCATACATGCATGACATTCATGAATCAAACAAAACGCAGCTTCATGTTTTCTGTGTGTTACCTGCTGCTTGGTGCTGTGTACGTTCATAACCGCGGTAGGAGTATGTGTGTAAAGCGCAGCTGAGAAGTTTCCTTTCTGCGCAGGCCGAAGTAACGTTAGGATAGCATGGAGAGACGAGGGGAGGACAGGTCCTGCAGTGTGGCAAGTACAAGTATACTGAACACTAACACACACAGTGGGAGCTGAGAACTGATACGAGACAGAAGTCTGCTTGTCCAGCTGCGTACCTGTGATCTCCAGACTGCTGATGTTCTGGTAGGAAGAACCAACTTGACGTCTCACGTTCACACAACGGCTCTATCAAAGCATAAATCACACACAGTGTCAAATTCAACTCAGAAGTATAAATGATACGTGAGATGGTTACAGACAGAGCTTCGTGTGTGTGCTCCAAACACCTTCAGAGTGTGCATTGTAGCTCCTCTAAAAGCACTGGGAGCCAACAGTGTGGGCGGTAACCCTGCCTGGGAGCCGGATGAAGCAACCACACCCTTCCAATTGATGAAGAAGTTGATGAGAGTGAAAGTGTGAAGTCCTTTCACACATATCACAGACTCAGGCTTATGGTCCACAGACATGACGTGGCCCTCCTTATGACTAGAGAAGAGGTCAAGGAGTTGTCACAGAAAAACACACAGAGTACACGTAAAACAGACTAACGTGACAGTGCTAATGAGGATACAGGTGTAGGGTGTGGAGGTCTGGCTTCTTGATTTTGTCCTGGACTCCCATCTCTTTCAGCCAAGACAAAGTGCTGTCTTCATCTCTGTAGTCTCCATCATGGTCTCCTCCATCAACTGTATCGCTCAGCTTGGAGCACCTATACATTGAGACCACATTTACACACGATGGCACAAAAACACCACAACAAAAGGTTCTTCTTATGTCTGACTGATTACACTTGTACAATTTCCAGGTTAATAGTGCCTCATTTTTCCTTATGGTATATTTAAAGCATGACGACTGGTTATATCTAGTTCCTTCTACAGGCCTTTATGGCTTAACTTACCATCGTTAAAGTAGACTTTCATATGTGGTGCTCCCTGCTTCTCCTTGCTAACAGTTTTATGGTCCTTGGGTCTTTATCATAAAAATAACTAAACTTTTTACTTTTCTTATCTTTTGTAGAGTGCTTGTGTTAAGTCTGTAGGGTGCAGGTTTCTTTTTATTGCCCAAAAAGTTATTCCAGTCATTCCCCGTTTAATTAACATTTAATTTAACCTAATTAACAAGAATAATCCAGGCATCTGAGTCTCTTAAAAGTATTAGATCAGTTGTATCTGACGCATGAATATCCTAATCTCCACTGTGTATTCGGACTACCGAAGCCTCTGCTGCAATCTAATTAAATCCTTTCTTTATTCCTCTTGATTGGGTTGTGCAAACCATTTACATGAAGGGTAATCATACTACGTACTTGATTTTGCATTTGGTTGGTTTTTGTTCTAACAGTTGAGTTACGTGGTGACCAAACGTGAGCTGTAGCAGAACTATGAAGCACACTGATGGATATTTTCAAACAGAAAGAATGACAGAGAGAAAACAGAACTGGAAGAACTTCATTTTAGCGTTAGCTATTTTGGTGTGCGAGGGATAATGTAGCTAACCCAGCAGAGCCCCCTTAATGCAACAGGAAAAAAAACAACAACTTCTAAAGTGTGTTCTGTGCATTTTGTCCATTTAGATTCGATCTTTCACCAAATGTTTCATTATTCAGTGGATAGTCTGAATTATGCTTATGTTAGGCATAGGGGTACCTGGTCATCATGCACATACAAACAGTCATAACCCACCAAGTCATTGAAAGTTGGGTTCAATGATATAGTAAGGCCAGACACTCCCTGGTGCACTCGCCTTGCTGTCAGCGGTCCAAGCATCCAGTGCAAAGGCCAGGAAACTATGAATGTTAGAAGAAACATCTGTAGTACTAAGTGTTGCCAGTACTTGGCTGCTCCATCCAGTATTTGAATCCATAGTGTGGTACTGCGCTTGTATGAACGTCCACACGAACCAGCTTCAGTGAATAATTCTGTGAGAAGGCGACTCCGCTGAGAACCGGAGTTCTGTCCACGCAGGAACCAAGAAAATGTGGTTCCATAAAAGTGAAATGTGAACCACGATCAGTTATTAAACATTCCAGCGATGGCATTACTCCACATGCTTGGTGTCGACTTCTCTACCTGCACATTCTCTTACCCAAATTCTTCATTATTGCCATGCAGTTCTTTCAAACTGTTGCCTTCAGTTGCAAAGTTGTAATTTAGCACAGCCATTGGAAGCTTTGCAGGGTTGCTCTGTTAGCTCTCATATGTCCTCACTAGAGATGGACCGATCCGATATTACGTATCAGACCTAACTTACTGGATCGGATATCAAAAAGAAATAAAAAATGTAATCCGATCCATTAAATATCAAAAAAGCAGCTCACAGAACTTGCGACAACTCCTAACTCGGCTCATAACCGTAGCACGTGGGAGCAGTATGCATCACGTGATAGAGCGGCTGTGGTGCGCCAGACCTGTCGGCGGTCTGGTTGAGCATTTGTAGCCTTGCTACCAAACCGGCATTTCATCTCCGAGGAAGTTATCCCAGAGAGAAGTAAAGCAAGTGTGTAAGTTCATCTCTGAATGTTTGTAAAGCATTCCAGCGTTAGCGACTGCCTCTCTCTCTCTCTCTCCAGCTGCTACTTCAATCATGAAACTGATCAATGATCAGCTGATCGGCTTTTCTGTCACGAGTCCGTCTCTCCTGTTTGTTTATCGCCCACTTTGCACCAGAAAGAGGAAACCAGCGGCTGAACAACAGCAGCTTGATAAGCTTAAACGTGTATTTAATATTACTTTCTACACCAGGATCTTTTTCTACGTAGCTGACACTGGTAACTGTGCAGGGGCGGATCTAGCAAAGTTTAGCCAGGGGGGCCGATAGGGCATGAACAGGGAAAAGGGGGCACAGAGACATACTTTTCTTTCTTATTCTCATTTAAAATGTCTAGCTTTTAATAAATAATTATCTGACTCTTACACCCAAAGTTTTAATCTGATGTAAAATGTATAGAAGTCCATTACTGTATATAGTAACTGTTAAGTCTAATATACCCTAGTAAGCTATACTACTTTTTCAATCTGTGCAGTTCTGTTGAAGAAAGATGTTGAATCTATTTAATTATTCTTGAAAAATAATTTATTTCTGTGCATTTTTTTCACACTGCATCAAATTAAAGTTGATTACGTCGATTAAGTATCATGAGGTGGAGGGTGGTTCCCTTTTTTTTTTTTTGCTGGAAGTTTGCAGCCCTATTAGTTAGGTTGCTTAATATTTCTGCTAAGTATTATTTAAAATACCAGAATAGGGAGGATGGAGCAGGTTTAAGTTTATTAGATTGATCAGTGTTGCTGAACTATGAAATATTTTGGGTGCAGTGTGTTTTTTACATACAGGTATAACAGAATAGCTTTAGTGTTTGTTTGTTTAGTTAAACTTTAGTATGAACTTATACAAAATGCAGCAATACATTAAAAAAAAAGTTTCATTGATTAAAAAACACTATATCGGATTCATATCGGTATTGGCAGATATCCAATTTTATGATATCGGTATCGGACATAAAAAAGTGGTATCGTGCCATCTCTAGTCCTGACTTGGGCGCTTCTCAGTTTCCGCCTCGAGGTGTCCTGTGAAGCAGATCCCCTTGGTCTCCTTAAATCCTTCACTGCCTTGTTTGCCCTGCTGTACACTACCAGCCTGTACACTTTTATTGTGGCAGCAGGGCTGGTGTCTGGGATCAAATGTCTTGCTTCGAGTTTTGCTGCTGTATTCTGAGTTTGACTCCACTCAGGGCTCTTGAGCTGTTTTAATAAAATCATTTATAGAATCAGATGTTGTAACCTTCCAAGGCCTCCACATGGTGGGAGCCTCCAGGTCTGCTCATGAATGCAGATTCGAGTTCCACTCTTCCATATCAGCTGATCTTCCCACCCTGTTGGTCGTCGTCTTCAAATCAGTTATTAGGTCGCCTAGTTTCTGTTAAAGTTCTGCTATCATTTCTCAGTAGAGCTGGGCGATAGAACGATAACAATATGTATTGCGATATAACTTTTTCTCAATAGAAAAATTTAACTATCGCGATAGACCTCGCCGCTCTTGTCCTCTTAAAAAAAAAAAGAAAGAAAAAAAAGAACAGCCAATCCAAATTACGTAGCGCAGAGCCGAACCAATCACAGCCACAGCGTCACGTCACGTGACTTGTTACGTACAGCACAAGTGCCAAGCCGCACGTGTGTATTTGTTTGGGAAGCAGCCAGCCACTGTACCGCCCGGGTAATGAGTGTGCCGACTAGAAAAATCAACCGAGTGTGACTGAAGGCTACCGAAGAGAAAACAGATGATGGTTCCAACGCCGGAGAGATTGTCGAACGGAAGAACCATAGAAGTTCCGTAGTGTGAAGGTATTTCGGCTATTTCAAGTCTGACAAAAAACAGAGTAGCGTGCACTGTAAATTGTGCCGAAAGCAAGTCTGGAAATACAATAAACTGGTGCATGCGCTACGTCCACACGTACCCGGGTATTTTTGAAAACGCAGATTTTTCTATGCGTTTGCACCTTTCGTCCACACGTAAACGGCGTTTTTGGTCACTGAAAATGAAGATTTTTGAAAACTCCGTTTTTGCATTTACATGTGGACTAGAAAAATGGAGAAAACGCAGCGTCAAAGGTGTGCGCATTTTTTGACGTCACACTGTGCGCCACGTTATTGTTTCGGTGAAATGAATTTCTACAATACTGTTAATTCTACTCTCTGCAGTGTTTAAATGCTTACATATACACACAGTTACTGTCCCTCCACACATACGACTCTGTTCTGCTTCTATGCCCAGGCTTTGTTTACTTTTTCCCACCGAGGCTTCTAGACTTCTGATTGGCCAACATTTCTGCACGGTTAGGAATCTAGCGCCACCTAGGGCTGGGCCATATTATACCGTTCACGGTAATACCGGTATAATGTTAGGCAACGATAGGAAAATGAAATATCGCGATAGAATGGGAGTAAAACGCGCATGCGCAGTGCCTTTGTTTTCATACGCACATGGCCGATTGTTGAGTGAAACAGATGAACCAGAATTGGTTTGTAAAAATGGTGCAACTTCCGTGATGTGGAACTGGTTTGGTGTTTGTCCGTCAGATACACAACAAAGCACATTTTTTTGCAGAACATGCAAGCGGGCCGTCGTTATTGTCGTATTTGTCGGACTAAGATGCTCTTAAATCTGGGAGTAATCTAGGTCCTAAACTCTGTATACTTCAGGTCAAACAACACTGCAGCATCACTTAGAGTTAAAAACTGTCTAAATTCTTTCATCTTTAATAAAACGATCAGCATTGCTGCTTTACCAGGTGTAACTATAAAGTTTAACTTCCAGGCATCCATGAAAACAAAAGTTATTACATTTAACGGAGTTAGAAGTTAGCAGGAAGCTAGCGGAAGTTAGCTCGCTAGTTTCGCTAGTTACCTAAGCATGATATTGCATGTTCTGACTGAGAGATTTCTGAAAAAAATCAAACGTACAGCTCTGCTATCACTTCCAACATAAATGAAGACAGGAAACTAAACAGCAGTGACGTTTGTAGGGTTACTGAAGTTGGGCTAGCTGGTATATAATGATGTGCTACGTGATCGCTAGCGACACAGCTATGTTAGCATAACATAAACAGTGAAGCTGGAGGACGAACACTAACACTTTTCCACTTATAAAAAGTTAACGTGAAGGTTCTTCATGGTTAGAGACAAATGCAATCGCATGGCAGGATGCTGTAAACGGACCAAACTTCAGTCAGGAGTGGTCTGATTGATGCCACAATGGACCATTGATCAGTCGTCCATTGTGGCATCAATCAGACCACTGGTATAATAAAAGCATAATCACAACTGATAAGTTCGCTGCAATTTCCAGTGTGTGGGGATCATTTGTCACCAACTATGGAATTAACAATTTATCTTATTTCTTAGGTGTTTTCAACCTCTGCTGCCACGCTGACGGCGTATGCGGCCAAACGGAAGAAGACAGTCTATATTCTTAGCAGCATGCACAGCGTGGTTCAGACTGATAACACTACCAAAAGGAAGCCAAACACTGTCACCCTTTACAACAAAACAAAGTGTGGCGTGGATGTGATGGATGCCAGGATTGTGAGTGATTGCTGAAAATGTTGAAATGTACTCACTCACTTTTTATTATTATTTGTAAATATGTGTGCAAATGGTTGGTTTTTTGTACTGTTTTCATCAATAAATCTCAGCAACAAAGGACATACACCCATGTGTGTTGATTTCTCCCTAAGATGGCAAACTGAAACACTCCAAGTTGGTGACTTTTGGAGATTTATTTCCCTGGATGATTGAGAATGCATCAAGATGAAACACAAAAGGGAAGTTCACAGCTTTTAGCAGCTCCCCCACCCCCTCATCCACATACCCCCACTCCCCTCCCTCCAGAATTCCCAGGTAACAACCTAATATACATATGAATGACTAGCCAATTTAGCTTCCACTTTCACCATTTGACTGCTCTCCGGCTTTTAAAGGTAGAACGGTAGAAGCCTGGGACTCCAGGTGGTTTAAACCCCGAAGAAGAAGAAGCTGTGTCCGGTATTGTAGCTGTGTCCAAATTCAGGGGCCGCATCCTTCGGAGGCCGCATTTGAAGGCCGATTACGTTACAGCAATGCGATGAAGGCTGTCCAACTTCGAAGACTTCGGCAAATACAGTCGACAAATGCGTCCTACTTTTCCCCAGATTTGAAGGACGGGTCGGGCGTATGGCCCAACCTATCCCAGAATTCACAGCCAATTCCAGTTTCCAACAATGGCGGCAGCTAGTTAGTTTTAATATTACTCTTATTATTCTTTCTGGGTCACAAAATACACGTTTAACATATTTTCAGGCCAGAATGTAGCTGTGTAAACTTCAAATATCTGCTCAGTTTATCAAGACACCACATATTTTCAAAAGCGCTCCGACTTTTTCGGAGACGTCTGTTACCCACTAGCTCGATAGCTAGAGCCGTGAGAACAGCGGACTCCCGGCAAATCGTTTTCAAACCCACCACCGTCTTTCGCTACTCAGGTTAAACATGATATATGAGTCACTTAGATAACTTAAAAATGTTATTGTTTGGCTTTTTTCAGTATTTTATTTGTTCCTGAGTAAATCGGTTTGGCTGAGATTAAAGTTTTTACACAGCTGAATAAACGTCAAGCAGACAGCTGATTATCAGAAGTGTGAGATGCTCGAGGATTTACTCCGGTGTCCTGTTATATTTTAGATAGCAAGGAGTTTATTAAACAACACCGAAACAATCTGCAAATTTCATTAAAATTTAATAAACTATCATCTTGTCTTTATTTTTAGTTAGCACCTTAAACACTTAAAGCTGTAAGCTAATGATAGTTATATAAGAGCAGATGCTGCTGGTGCAATAAGCTGTACGTTTTATGTTCAATGGATGATGATCTGATTGGTCGACTAATCGGATCATGCATCTGTTGGACGTAAAACATACAGCTTATTGCATCAACATGTGTCTGCTCTCCAAATTCAGGGGTCAAAAGATGTGGCCCCTGAATTTGGACACAGTAAGCGGAGACTGCTGCTTCTTCCGCTTCTTCTTCGGGGTTTAACAGCAGCTGGCACCCTTTTACATGCATTGCTGCCATCTTCTGTTTCAGGCGTTATTACACTCTTAAGTCCTGCTACTTATTCCTGCGTTTTTCGGGATCCTACAAAGCATCAAATGACGCATCTACTATTAAATTGGCTCATGGCCGCTCAGACATCGTGTTTGTCTCTTCAATCGTCTTTTTAAAAATCTTTCCCATCTGGCAGCTCCGCCAGATGTGAACTACCCAATGATTTTTCATTTTAAAAAAGGAAGTATTATTATTTATTATTAGCTGTATGAGAAGTCAGCTATTCTAGAATGATATGAAGCTGTGTGGAAACTGCTGAGTGTTTTTTAGAAACAGTGATCAGAATCAGAACCCCGACAGCTCCCAGCCCTACTGAGCACAGACAATGAAAGAGCAGCACTTACGTGACCTCTTGTTCCTCCTGCTCCTCCTCTTGGTGAATGGTCTGCTTCTGTGCCTCCCTGCACCTCCTCTGTTCCTCCAGCAGAGGGAGGGTGAACTCTATACCTATATGGGTAAACTGATCAGTGAGGAGCAGCGAATGATGAAGCTGTCATGTCCTCTGTTCAGTCCTAACCTCAGGCTAGAGGTCTGACATTGTTTGACTCCTACAGCTAATTTTTCTTGTAGTTTTTTATTTGAGTCATGTCTTAAAGAATAAACTACAGGCAAAGCTTTTTCATACAGCGGTCAGGTTTGTGGACTATTTTACTGCCACTACATGTCACATTTCAGACGAGTGGAAAGAAAATGTTGGTTGTCCACGCTGCCTGCCCGGCCGGCTGACAACAATACCTTATCAGCCTTTTACGGCTGTAAATGTATCAAATGAAAATTAATTTTGAGACCAAAGCTACAGTTCAGCTCTCACCTTCAGCCTTCATTGCCTCTCTGAGGCCCCTCGTTGTGGGGGAAATGAAAGCAGTGATGCTGCTGGATCCTCCAAGACCTGCTGCCCGGAACAACACTGTGAACTGACAAAGAAACAGATGAGCTGAAGGACGGTGTTGCTGAGCACAGTTCAGATTGCATATTAACACCTACCTGATAGGAACAGAGGTAGAAGTACGGACACAGTCTGGCCTTTAACAGACTGTAGAGAGATGACAGACTGACGGACCTGAGCAACAAACATGGACAAAGGAAGGAGTGTGGGAATAATGCCACTGAATACAAGTACAGTATACAGAACACAGCAGCCAGTGTTCAGCAGTTTCACAGTACACACAGCATTCATTTGACTCTGGCTGCATCGAGTATTTTGAATTACAAAAAAGACCTCAACAAGGCAGCACCTGTTCCTGGAAGCTCCACTAAAACCTTTACTGGATACAGGCTGGCGTTAAAACACCCGTTTCACTTTATAACTACACCTGACCTGTTTGTCACAGCTACAGTAAAGTTACATTCAAACTCACAGCTGAACACACGCATACGTCACCTGGTCCAGGAGATACAACAATGTCAGAAGTCTTTTTGCAGAGCATCACCATGGAGCTCCACCTAAAAATGCTACTTCATTGTGTGGCTGCTCTTACTTGGCCATGAAACACTTCACTGTACAAAGGTTCATTTAATGTGCAACCCTGCTGTGTGAGATTTAACCCCACCTGTGAAGCTGGATTCAGGAAAGAAGTGTTTAAACATGTTTAGCGCTAGTACAGAGCGTGATGTCACTGGGTCCGATGGTTAGCTGGCTGCTGCTAACAGACTGGGTTTGTGTTAGCTAACTGTGACAGAGCTGATAACTCGGCGGAAAAAAAGGTCCCTGATACTAAAACACAGTCTAAGGAGGCCGTAACTTCCTTCTCTCTCTGTCAGATTTATTGGGGCTACTCAGCCTAACAATGAACTCTTTCATCTACATCTCTTCGGACCTCCAGTGTAAAGATCTCAAATCTTAGAATCAAGTTCAGTTTTTTTTAATGATTCATTTATCAATAGGACATATCAGTGAAACCACCTATCAGTCAGTTATACATAAAAATGGCTGCAATTCCTAAACAAACAATATTTTTATTAAAATCCGTTGAGTTAAAGCTGAAAGTCTGTGATTCAATCGCATCTTGATTCATTTAAAATCAGGACAGAGAGAAAAATGAATCATTGCAGTAAAACCTTGTCACCTTGTCAGCCTCACCATTCTGTCATGAGACTCTGCTGTATTGTTGCATCATGAGCCCAGGGGGCGCTCTTGCCAAAGAAGCTCCTTTCAGCGTTGATCCTAGGGAACAAAGACAGCCAGGGTATGGAGGGATGCTGCCAGTAGACCAGGCTTTGCTGGAAGGCACAACGTAGCTCTGAGCAGGACCTGGGATCCTATAGCAGGCACAGAGACAGGTCGGGCTGAGGAACAAGCTACTGAAGAACCCAAGATAAACTAAGAGCTGTCGGGTATCCATATCAGCATACTTTATTAATACCTAAGGAAATTATGTGGGTTACAGTTGCTCCAGTAAAGTAACAGTAACAGACGAGTGGGGCTGCCACGATTAGTCACTAGTCACGAGTATTAAAATCGTCGACGACAAATTTGATAGTCGACGCGTCGTTTGAAGCTTTGTAAGATCCCAAAAGACGCAGGAATAAGTAGTAGAATTTAAGAGTGTAATAACAGACTGAAACAGAAGATGGCAGCACTGCATGTACAAGGATGCCAGCTGCCGTTAAACCCTGAAGAAGAAGAAGCTGTGTCCCTGTCACTACCCGATCCGTACCGGAAACCCGATCGGTACCCCGCATGCGCGAAAGGTTTCTACTTCCGGTGGTAGCGTTTTACGATAGTTATGGGTCAGAGTATCTGTTAAGATGTTAAGAATTGCACATTTATTTTGGCATTGCCCGGTTTTGAATGCTTTTTGGAGCCGGATTTTTATGTGGTTTTCAAACCAATTTAGGAAAAAAGTACCACGTGATGGTACATTGGCTATACTTGGATCATTTGCATCAGTCGAATCTTTTTCCTTTTCACAAAAACAGATAATTACAATGGGTATGCTGGCTGCAAAGAAACTTATTCTTTTACAGTGGCGGTCTTCTTCGGCCCCGTGTTTTAACAGGTGGCTTAATGAGATGGTGTCTGTGGCCAGGGTGGAGCAGATAAGATTTGATAGAGAGGGGAAACTGGCGAGTTTTTGTATGATTTGGCAACCATTTCTAGAATTCTTAAAAAAAAAAAAAACTGATCATAATTCATGCCTCACTCTCCGCGTGAATTATTTTATTTGTTTTTTTTTTTTTCCTTCTTCCTTTTCTTTTTCTTCTTTTTTTCCTTTCTTCTTTTTTTTCCATTCATGCTCATAAGTTCACAAATGTTAAAAACAGTAATTGTTCTTGGTTGATATTGTATAAGCATGTTATGTTTAATTTAAATGCAAAAATAAAATTTAAGAAAAAAAAAAAAGAAAAGATGTTAAGAATAACAAGTATATCTTAAAATGTTTGCAATAATGAAGCATTTCAGTACAATGTAGACAAAAACGAAAAATAAAAAGAAAGTTACGGATCAGGACTCTCCGATCCTTACTGCGCATGTGTAAAGTCTGACCGTACAAATCGGGTCTACCCGATCCGTACCGCGCATGTGCAGATGTTTTCTTCTTCTTCTGTTCGTTTAATGGCAGTTTACTCCCCAGTGTACGAGGATACCGCCACCTGCTGACCGAGCGAATAAACCCTATTATAAACTGAATTATCGTCATTACAAACGTGTGTTAAATCTGATTTAGCGATAGTCGAGTGTGTTTATGCTTGTCTGTGAGGAGAGGATTGTTGGAATAGTGATGATGATGTGCGCTATCACTGTCAATTGTCAGTAAACACTTAATCTGGCTGATGAATCTACACGTGAGATATTACAAAGTCTGCATTATTAACTCTGTAATTAGGCGCCATTCTTCTTATTTTACGGCGCTGTTGCTCAATCGGGGGACGCTCTCTGTTGAGGAGAAAAGCATGAATTTCTTTGTATACGGATTATCCATTGTTCAAATGTCCCGGGCAGTCGACAAGGAGGCAGAGCTGTTGAGAAATGCTAGGAGCTAACTGGGCGCGTGTCATTCAAATATATTGAATGTCGCAATGTTGGCAAAGAAAGGAAGTGACGTAAGATTTGCACATGCGGGGTACCGATCGGGTTTCCGGTACGGATCGGGTAGTGACAGTCCCAGAATTCATAGCGCGGCCCTGTTCAGTTTCCAACAATGGCGGCAGCTAGTTAGTTTTAATGTTACTCTTATATTCTTTCTGGGTCACAAAATAAACGTTTAACATATTTTCAGGCGAGAATGTAGCTGTGTAAACCTCAAATATCTGCTCAGTTTATCAAGACACCACATATTTTCAAAAGCGCTCCGACGTTTTCGGAGACGTCTGTTACCCATTAGCTCGATAGCGAGCCGGGGGCAAGGTCACTAGAGCCGTGAGAACACCGGACTCCCGGCAAATCGTTTTCAAACCCACCACCGTCTTTCACTACTCAGGTTAAACATAATATAAGTCATTCAGATAACTTAAAATTGTTATTGTTTGGCTTTTTTCAGTATTTTATTTGTTCCTGAGTAAATCGGTTTGACTGAGATTAAAGTTTTTACACAGCTGAATAAACGTCAAGCAGACAGCTGATTATCAGAAGTGTGAGATGCTCGAGGATTTACTCCAGTGTCCTGTTATATTTTAGATAGCAAGGAGCAGACAGCAGAGTTTATTAAACTCCACTGAAACAATCTGCAGATTTCATCCATCCATCCATCCATTCGCTTCCGCTTATCCTTTTCAGGGTCGCGGGGGGAGCTGGAGCCTATCCCAGCTGTCATAGGGCGAGAGGTGGGGTACACCCTGGACAAGTCGCCAGTCTGTCGCAGGGCCAACACACAGGGACAGACAACCATTTGTGCTCACATTCACTCGCACATTCACACCTAATGGCAATTTGGATTTTCCAATTAACCTATCCCCACAACCTGCAGATTTCATTAAAATTTAATTCATCTTGTCTTTACTTTTAGTTAGCACATACGTAAACACTTAAAGCTGTAAGCTAATGATAGTTATATAAGAGCAGATGCTGCTGGTGCAATAAGCTGTACGTTTTACGTCCAATGGATGATGATCTGATTGGTCGACTAATCGCAAAAATAATCGGTGACTTGTCGACTATCAAAATAATCGTTTGTGGCAGACCTACAGACGAGATTATTTAACGATACAGTATGTTACACATGTGTATTTAGTTCTATACTTCTGGAGATAATTTGTTCACTCTGGTGCTCTTAAACTGGTGCAGATTAATTGTCATCTGGTATTGACTAATAACAAATACACACATGCATTTTGTGTGATAAGCACAAGTATTAAAACCTAATGGTGAAATAACTAGTAGCTCAGTGTTCCAACATGCAGAAGAAGCAACTGCTATTGCAACTGCAATCTTTCTGGTTAAAGGATCCAGAATTTTTAGAATATATTGGAAAGCAAATAGATTATTATTTTGCTTATAACACTACTCAAACTACGGCGACTATAAAATGGGAGGCCTTTAAAGCTTTCCTGAGAGGGCAAATGATCAGTTTTACAAGCTTTTTAAAGCATCCGGGATGGAACTGGTTCATTTGGAGAAAAAGATAAAAGATATTGAGGAAGAGATATTTATATCCAAATCTAATGCTCAAATTCTAGAGTTAAATAAACTCAGAGCTAAATTTAATATTTTGTCATTAAATAAAGCTACTAAAAGTTTACTAAGACTGAAACAGTCACAGTATGAACAGGGTGAAAAAGCAAGTAAAATACTGGCTTGGCGTATTAAACAAACTAAGGCTGAAAGAACAATAAACTCTATAACTACAGATGAAGGACAGATCACAGCTGATCCTAAACATATAATGACTCTTTTTGTACTTTTTATAAACAGCTATACAAAACTGAGCATTTAAAGTCATTTTCATCAAAACAAAAAATCTTTTTGGATCAACTGCATTTTCCTAGACTACCAGAAAACGATATGGATGAACTAGAGCTTAATATAACAGTAGAAGAAATTACTAATGCTATAAGGAACATGAAAGGGGGCAAAACTCCTGCACCTGACACAATACCAATAGAAATATTTAAAATATTTAAAGATAAATTAATCCAGCCTTTATTGGATATGCAACACATTGTAGTTCTTACAGACCAATCTCACTGTTGAATTATGATTACAAGATACTTTGCAAACTATTAGCTATAAGTGTCACGGGCGCCGAGGCGAGCCGTGTGGAATAAATGAGGATCCAATCGCAGGCAGTCGTGGAGAAGTGAAGGTGATTTATTGAACACAAAAGGAAGGTGGACAAACAGCAAACGGGGCTCGAACTAAACTAAACTGGGGAAACAACTAAACTACAGAGCACAAACCTGAATGAAAACGAGCAGAGGACGATGAACAGCAGGGAGAAGACACGGTGGATACACAGACTGACACTGAGTAATACAAACTGACACGGAGTTACACAGACAAACCGGCAACAGGCAGGAGAACACACAGGGCTTAAATACACACACCAGTAATCAGGGGATGAGAGACAAGAGGGCAACACAGCTGGGAGGAATCTGAGCTGACGGGACAGGGGAAACGTAAACTGAGCACACTCACATATGACACAGACCTTCACAATAAAACAGGAAACGCAGACACATGGAACCAGACAAGACATCGAACTAAACAGACAGATTCACAAACAGATGGGGAGACACCATAGACAGACAGATACAGACGCAGACTCAGATTAGAGCTGGGCGATATGAGATTTTTTCATATCACGATATGTTTTTTTCATTTCAGGCGATAACGATATCTATCACGATATCAGCCAAATAACTATATTTGTAAGATTTAAATGTGCCGTTGCTCACAAGTAAAATGTGAAATAATCAGCAGCTTGTTTTTATTTAAATATTTATTTCCCATAATAAGTTCAACAGGGTAGATGTACTTAAGGAACATGAGACTTTTTCAGATAAATAAAGGCAAATATTGCAAACTACACAAAAGGCAGCCGCTAAAGCGTTTAAGTTTCAAAATAGAACAAACGAAACAGACTAAATTGTCAATTCCACTTAGAAACAAAATATTAATTCTAAAAATAAATCTTAGTTTGTGTTACAGAAGAACAGACAAAACTGACTAACTTTTGTCAATATCAAATAAACTGAGAACTAAAAGGAAATTCTCAATCTCTCCTTGTTGTAGAGCTGAGCTTTTCAAACAGTTTTAACAGTTACTTTAGTCTGACAAAAGCCGAATGAGGAATTAGCGCTTCCAGTCAGAGACTGAGGCT